GGTTTCAGCCGTGAATCCTCCCCTTTTGGATGGGCATCATTCTGGTGAGCACCATTGCCCGTCGGGTGTATCCTGACTATACCACACCCTAAGCACCTTTCTGCAGTGCCAATGGACAGAATCAGTGGGGTGCGCAGGGACGTCCCTAATCAGGTCTGTGCCGCAAGACCGAGCGAGAGCCCAGGCACCACGCTGCGAGCAATGGTAAACCTCTTCTCTCTCCTCCCGAGGATGGGCCCATGTCAAAGCGGGCAGCTCTCACTCAGCCCCCGGCGTTTGAAATGATACAGCGGAATTTAAATCCCCAAAATGATACAGCGTAAAGGGTCTGTGCCGCAAGACCGAGCGAGAGCCCAGGCACCACGCTGCGAGCAATGGTAAACCTCTTCTCTCTCCTCCCGAGGATGGGCCCATGTCAAAGCGGGCAGCTCTCACTCAGCCCCCGGCGTTTGAAATGATACAGCGGAATTTAAATCCCCAAAATGATACAGCGTAAATCCCCCAAACTTCTGCTTGTGTTGTGTGTTGCAGCTGGGAGGGGAACAGCCACCCAGGGGAGTTGTTGTCAGGTCCTGCCACCTGGATCCTCTCTGCGCTGGTGGGGCGTCCATCGACATGTGCCCATTAGCTGCATTGGAAAGTCGGGGTCCCTTGTGCCCCTTCTGAGTGCTGGATTGCTTCATCGAAGCATCACCAGAAAGAGCCACACACAGGGAGGTTTAAGCCATAGTGTATAAATTAAGAGAGATGAGAAGGGTCAATTTTTGTCCCAAAATTGCTCATCAGATATCTGTCCTTCCCTAATACCTGGCCAGTATGCAATTCCAGCAGCAAAAATTAAGCAACGGTTTGGTTTTTTCTGATCCCTTTGTGGGACCGCATTTGGAGCCAGAGGCAGTCTGTCTTTCTGGTAGGAGGTTAATTAGTCTGTGGTATAAATATGTGCATGCGTCATTTTGTGAAAGGTGATGTTGCATCGTGGTTCGAAATTCAGTGGATCCGTAGGTGTGGTGTTGGAGACGGGAATCCGTTTTTTCAGAGGGGTGTCCATGCACCGCAGCCCTTCACCCTCCTTGCTGAAGCCCTCTGTTTTGCTCCAGGGTGATGCTTCCAAGTCTGATTCCGAGGGGGATCTCTTCCCCCGCAGCCTGGAAGAGGAGGGAGGACTTAAGAAAAACTTGTCAAATCCAGCCTGTGAGTAACAACCCCGGGAGGACAGGCTTTTCTGCCAAAACCTCGCTTTGCTGTGAAAGCAATGTGTCCTGAAGGGAAGAGCCCTCCTAGAGAGAGCAGTGTAGTCCAAGCACTGGCACGCTCCACCGAGGCCAGCAGGCTTGTGGCGTGGGGTTGGATCGTGGGATGCAGACAGAGACATGATGGCATTCGGGCCGTAATCTCCCCACTGAGCCCGAGGTCTGGGCCTTTGGGGTCTCTCTGCAGGGGCACAAGTGGAGGAGCTGCGGGGAAGGAGGATGGAGGGAGCCTGGCATGGGCAGGAGGTTCCCAGGGTTGGAGCTGGTGGGTGTTGGTTGAAGGGTTGTGGGGCCGCAGATGACAGTCTGCATCTACTCTCCTCTCCCATTGGCACCTGATCCCATTCCTGATTTACATCCCCCTGCTCCCCTGCCAGGCTGAAGGACGGGCTCTCAGCTCTCCAGAAGGGCTTTTTGGCCCCCATCCTCCTGATGCGTGGAGGAGAGCTGTCCCTGCGCAGCTGCTTTGCCTGCCCAGGAGCAGGTTGTAGATGTGCCCTTCGAGGTGTGACACCTAAAACCCACTTGTGTCTTCCAGTGATGGCCCTGAGCGACCACCTGGAGCTGAAGAAGAGCCTGACCCCACCGCTCATCATACACACCGCTGCCACGCCGATGCCCATGCCCAAGAGCGCCATGTTCGGAGACGCAGCGCAGGGCTACGAGTCCCGCCGGGCCAGCGGAGTCGCCATGGACCCCGCCGCCTACGAGCTCAAGTCCCCGGTACTCGCATCACCTCCTCCTGCCGACGCTCAGCGGGTGTCTGTTGGGCTTGCGGGGCTGTCCGTCCGTCCATCCACCCCAGCTGGCGCAGCAGCAGCACGGCGCGCGCGG